CAGAAATTTATCCTCTCAGAGTCCTGGAGGCTGGAAGACCAAGATCAGAGTGCAGGCAGGGTTCTTTCCTCTGAGGCCTCACTCCTTGGTTTGCAGATGCCGCCATCTTGCTGCCTCTTCATGTGGCCTTTCCTGTGTGTGTGCACGCACATCCCTGGTGTCTCTCTGTACGTCCCAGTCTCCTCTTCTTAGAAGGACACTACTCAGACGGAATCAGAGCCCAGCATAATGACCTCATAGCTCCAAATACAATCACATTCTGAGGTATTAAGAATTAGGGCTTCAGTAGGTCAATTTGAATTTCGGTGGGACACAATGCAGTCCATAACATCTGCCCAGAAGCAGAAATCTCCTCTCCATACCTTCACCCACATCAGTTGCATCGATTTCTTCTCTTTCCAGAGGCAGCCCTCCCTGTTGCACTCAGAACCTGCTGCTCAGCTGTTGGTCTAGTATCTGCTTTTTTCCAGAACCATGGGAATTCCCATTTTCTCCTCTGAGTCGTCTTTTATCTTCACTCACTTTCTGGTTTTGGTAAAACACATTTTCTATCAGCTTCCTGAGGATTGCACATTTTTGAAATCTTTAATATCTGTAAATAACTTTCTTTCTACCTTCTTACTTGACCAAAATTCTGCCAGGATACAGAAATCTAGGTGGCAAAACATCTTCCTGAATTTTGAAAGCATTGTCCCATTGTCTTCTGGCTTCTGGTATTACTGTCGAGAAGTCTGAAAACATTGTTTCTCCATCCTTAGTTTTGAATGTTTTCTTCTTTCTTTCCTCTTCAATTTCATTCTCCTCATTCATTCTCTTGGTCCTTCTCTTCTCTCATTCTCTCTGATCAGTATAATGGGTTTTTGTTTGTTTGTTTCTTTTTTTGTTTGGTAAGAAAGATTGGCCTTGAGCTAACATCTGTTGCAATTTTCCTCTTTTTGCTTGAGGAAGATTCACCCTGAGCTAACATCTGCTCCAATGTCCCTCTGTTTTTGTATGTGGGACCCCTCCACAGCATGGCTTGATGAACGGTGTGTAGGTCTGTGCCTAAGACCTGGGTCTGTGAACGCTGAGCTGCAGAAGCAGAGTGAGTGAACTTAAACCACTACAGCACCGGGCCAGCCCTCAGTGCAGGTTTTTTTTAACCATTATTCTGTAATAGGTGGGCCCTCTCAATTTGATGCTCTCAGTCTGGGAAATTTGACTATATCATATCTTTGATAATATTCCCCTGCACCACCTTCTGGATTCCCTTTCTTAAATTCTTACTATATGGATATTGTTTCTTCCTGACTAATCCTTTAATTTTCTCATGTTTTGACTCCACTTTTCCATTATTTGGCTTAAGTGCTCATTTTAATATTCTTCATTCTTTCAATGTCCTTAAATTTTTCTTCTACACTTTTTATTTACTTTTTCATGTGTTACTCTCTATTTAACTTCCAGGAGCTCTTTTTGGTTCCCTGTTTCTTGTTTTGTCTTGAATTGCTTTGTTCTGTAGCCTAGAATTCTTGTTTTATATATTTTCACGCTCCTCATCTTCTCCTATTACTCTGAGGATATTTATCATATATTCTAAGACTTACTTCTTCTCCCAAAATTGCACAGTGCTGTTGTGTTGCCTCTGAGTTCCTCTTTTCTGGGTGACTTTTTCTTGTTTGCTCATTTATTCTTTCTTTTTCTTTTTCTTTTTTAAGATTTTACTTTTTTCCTTTTTCTCCCCAAAGCCCCCCAGTACATAGTTGTATATTCTTCGTTGTGGGTCCTCGTAGTTGTGGCATGTGGGATGCTGCCTTAGCATGGTTTGATGAGCAGTACCATGTCCGTGACCAGGATTCAAACCAATGAAACACTGGGCCGCCTGCAGCAGAGCGCTTGAACTTAACCACTTGGCCACGGGGCCAGCCCCTATTCTTTCTTTTTCTTATTATGAATTTCCTTAAATGTCCAGTGATCCCTGTTGTCTGAACATATGTAGGAGGGATGCACTCAAACGCTGTTTGGGACCTGAGTGAACACAGGGACCTTATTTTCACACGAACTTTACGATAAGGTGATCAATCTATGATATTGTACTGGGGAACTCCAGACTCTATATCTATGCACACACTTTATATAGATAGGTATATATATATATATATCTGTATGCATATATGTATATATGTGTGTGTGTGTGTGTGTGTATATATATATATATATATATATATATATATATATATATATATATATGGCATTTTCTCTTGTGAGGGACCATTTCCCCAGAGAAAACTCCTCCAGTCTTGTGTCACTGGAGATGTGGACCTGGCTGTAAGGGTCCTCAGAGTCATTTGAGGGAAGCATCTCACATTCAGTGAGATGACTTGTTCTTTAATTACCTTGAATTTTATCTGGACCTTCAGCCGCACCCAGTGTTTCTGAGTGCAGGTATCCATGGACCAAATTCTCCAAACAGTAACCCTCTCCTCCCAGGGTGGGGAAAGTGCCTGGCAATGGATATACGGAGGGATTCAGGGAATAGAATTGCTTCTCTTACAGACTTTTAATTGCTATTCATATATTTAGTCCTACATATAACCCTCCTTGCAGAGGCATCTGGTACTTCTATTTCCTGAGACTTCTGAGGCTCCATGGCAAAAAGCAGCCTGCTCGCGATTTGTTTCCTCTCTCAACTTAAATTTTAACTCCCTTCTGTCTGTTAAGTCAGTCACCATTCATCCATCTGCTTTCTAACTTCCAAACTTGTCTCATCTACTATCTCCTTTGTCCTCATGAGTGAAACCTTTTTATCCCTTTCCCGTCAATTTAGTAGAATGTCAGGAGGAAATGGAATGCGTTTGTTTAACTGAAAGTACCCAAATTCTCATTGTAAAGAGAACTCTGAAAGGCACTGTGTATTTATTTCCTAATATTAAACTCCCATTGTTCACAAAGGCATTATAGATACCTACCAGAGGGCTGCAAGTGTTTGGAAACCAGCTTACTATTTGAGGGGCACGCGATTCACACTTACATAAGTCGAATAACCATAGAAACATAAAGTAGAATATGTTCAATTCAAATTCACTTATTCAGTAAACATGCTTGGAGCACTTAAGGTGCCAAACTAATTAAGAATCTATTGGAATAGTACTTAAGTGAACTGAGGAGAGTCTGGTCTGAATTAAGATAGTAACTGTGAAAAAGGGGGGGAGCAGATGAATTTTTAAAAATATACATTTTGGAGAGAAATATCTTACAAATTTTGCAACCATTTATTTGGTCTATGCCCTTATATCAGTTCGCTAGGGCTGTGGGGATGAAGTACCACCAAATGGGTGGCTTAACTGAAATTTATTGTCTCAGTCTTGGATGTCGGAAGTCCAAAATCAGGTGTTGGTAGGGTTGGTTCCTTCTGTGGGCAGTGATGGAAGGATGTGTTCCAGGCCTCTGTCCTTGGCTTACAGATGGCTCTCTTTATGTAAATAAGGCGTTCTCCTTGATACTTGTCACCTAATTCCCCCTTTTTACAAGGACACCACTCATACTGGATTAAGCCCCTACTAATGAGCTCATCATAACTTCATTATCTCTTGTTAAGACTTTATCACCAAATAAGTTCACATTATGGGGGTTTGGACTTCAATATATGAGTTCTGGATGGATGAAATTCAACCCGTAACAGCTCTCTTCAAACAGAGGATGAGAAAGTTGGTTTAAAAATGAGTAAGAAGTTTAGGTAAATTAGAGTGAGGACAACACAAAACCAGCCACATTCAGGACCTACAGAGCACACCTATTAGATGTTCCAGAAAGGGCAAAACAGGTCCCTAAAAGACCCATGCATATTTTGTTTTCCCCCCATCACTACAGAAGCCCCCAAGGGTCTCATTTGTCTGTGCACCATAGATATGGCTAGAGATGTGCTCATTGGCTTAGAAACGCAGGAGGTAACAGTACCCACTAAACCTAAAATAATAAGGCACTTTTTTAAAATAATAAAATTAAAATGCATCTTTTAAAAAACAGAAGTTATAATTTAGTAAACTATACAATTCAGTTAATTATGAGTTTATAGAACCTTAGATCTAAAAAATGCATCACAGAGATCATACAAGACAAAGATTACCAGATTAGAAGGTACTTCCACATCACCTGCGGATCTTTTTAAACCACACAGATTCCCAATCCCCACCCCGTGTATCCTGAATAGAATTTTCACGAATGCATATTTTTGAGAAACCCTCCAGCTGATTCTAATGCAGACTGTCTGATCCATCTGCCTTGTTTTTGAGTTGAGGAAATTGAGATCATCTTAACGAAATTACACAGCATAGGATATATTTAATTAAAAATGGTCTAGCTCTGTTTATATATGACTCGTGTCATTGTGACCAACGGAAAACCCAAGGATTAGTAGAAACCACTTCAAAAACACTTTTGCTGACACAGTCAATGATGCAACTATTTTCATATTATGGCAAAGATAGTTTAGAGATGTTTGTTTCCCTTTAATAAAATGTTAAAGTCACGGATATTTAATGTTGGCAGATTTAAAAACAGACCTATACCACTTGTCCGTCAGTGGCCATGCTGTAGTGGCGGCTCACAAAAAGAAAGGAAAAAAGACAAAGATTGGCAGCAGATGTTAGCTCAGGGCGAATCTTCCTCAGCAAAGAAAAAAAGAATTAAATTTAATTTAATTTAAAAAAATCTTGCAGGGCCAGCCCGGTTGCCTAGTGGTTAAGTTCACGTGCTCCACTTCGGCGCCCTGGGGTTTGCAGGTTTGGATCTTGGGCACAGACCTAGCACTGCTTGTCAAGCTACTCTGTGGTGGCATCCCACATAAAATAGAGGAAGACAGGCACAGATATTAGCTCAGGGACAATACTCCTCAAGCAAAAAGAGGAAGATTGGCAAAAGATGTTAGGGGTCAGGGCCAATCTTCCTCACACACACACACAAAAAAAAAACACAAAAAACTTCTAAAGTGAAAAGAACAGTACTAAGAGATTTTAGAAACTTACGGATGATGTCCTATCCACTTCACAACGGCTGCTCAGAATGAAACAGGCCTCAGCATCATCCATCCTAAATGCAGACAGCAAAAGAAAATAATCACACACTGAAATATCCATGTATTATCTGAAAGCTAGAATTTCAGTGCTTAATGCACACAAGGTACATGTAGACTCCAAAGATCCTTCAGCCTTAATGAGAGCTGGATTTCAGCAGACCATGACTGGACTTTTGAACAAAATAATTGTTGCTGAATTGGCTATATGACTCGATAGTTTATAATGAGAGAAGTTAAGAAAAAGTCAAATTTTGTTCTCTTTTATGATTATATGTTTTCTCATATATGTGCTTTGTTTATGTTAAGGAAGCTGTATTGGCCTTTATTTTATGATGAATTACATTTTAACTGCAATGCCTCAATTAAACTAAGAGAGATAATAGAAGAGAGCTACTTCGTCTTCCTAAGTCAGACTATACTATGATTTTATATTTCCTGGAGATAATTCATCATCTCATTCCAGACCCCTTCCCCTCATGCTAAAGTTCTGTACTTCCTAAATTTAGTGATAAACAGTACGTTTCAGTGCTTGATAAATAATGTTCTCAAAGCATAAAAATGTTTATTTCCAAAATGAGGAATGACTTATCTTTCTGGTTCAAGAGGATAAAATAAATCTTTCCTTCCAAGAAATACTTTCTTCAGAGAGGAAAGATAAAAGTGGAATTAGACCAAACCAAACTGTTCTGGGAAAATGTTGAGCCACGGTTATTAAGATAATATGAGCATTGCATAACATCTTCTAAACATCATTTTCAATGAAAAATTCAAAACTCATGCAACTGAGCTTCCGAACTGGTTTGCAGAAACCAACTCCTGGTTTCTTGCATGGAGAATTGTGTTGCAGAATGTTTTAATTATCGTGAAATCCCAAATCTTTACACGACATTACGATATGAAATGAACATAAAGATGGATACTCTGTCATCTCATTTCTTTCTCAACCCAGCTCTCATGTTACCAGCCTGCTACCTCTCCCTGACCCTCATTTGCACCCTTTCTCATTCCTATGGAGGAATGTTTCTGTAATACGATTTTGCTAAGAAATAATTTTAATACTATTAATAATAAATGAGTTATGTTAATCCTAGATGGCATCTACCTAAGATACTAATAGCTAATACAAATAGCTTAGATTAATCTATTAGGGAGTAAAAAGTCTTCATTTATCACACAAATGCATATTGAACATAATATGGCATTACTCATTCTTATTGTGTGAAGAACTTAGCTCTTACACAATAATTAGGTATAACGATTATCTACTCATATGAATATAAAGATCAAAATTACATATGTTAGTGTTTAAGCAACCATTGCTTTTTTTTTTTTTTTGGTGAGGAAGATTCGCTCTGATCTAATAACATCTGTTGCCAATCTCCCTCTTTTTTTTTTTTTTTTTTTGCTTGAGGAAGATTAGCCTTGAGCTAAAATCGGTGCCAATCCTCCTCAACTTTGTATGTGGGATGCCGCCATAGCATGGCTTAACGAGTAGTGTAGGTCTGTGCCTGCGATCTGAACTCACAAACCTGGGCTGCCAAAGCAGAGTGCGCTAGACTCAACTACTACCCCACGGGGCCAGACCCCTAAGCAACTATTTCTTTAGAGCTTTCAAATAATGAGTGCAGATATCAAATAATTAGCAAACATGTCAAGCTGTGTTTTACCTGAGGTACTGTGAGAATGTGATTAATTATAGAACTGTGATGTGTACAGTGACAACATATTTGAAGTGTTTAATCACCAAAAATACCAATATATTCTCAAAGAAGCTTAATTTTCCAATCATGTACCATTCATTATATCCTGATAGTTTCTAATGACTTTCTGTTTCAGAAGTTATTAAATCATTGAAAAAAATCTCAGCTAAATTGAACTGTTATACATAAATCAAAAGTAATGTCAGAGTTCCTGTGACAAGATATCTAGTCATCACTTGCAGGATTAAGCAGCGAAAAGGAGTTTGGGAGTTTTCTTGTGTTCTTTTCCATCAACCTTCCTCTCCCCCACACACACACAAACACACGCAAAGAACACACAGAAACAAACACAAACACACACATACCCACTAACACATATACTCAAGCTGTCCAAAAAAGACTGAAACAACAACAACAAATAAAAATCACTTATGCTATAAAACACAATGAGGAGACTTTTCAATCTAAAAGAGCATGTAGGACAACTCAAGGATAAACATGAAGACGTTCAAAACTTTGAAAGCAACAGAAAAGATGGAGCAAAGCTACCTCTGCTACGGATCTCTTCTGGCTTCTGAAATGACATATGTTGTTTTGCAGATACCCTAACTTCCTGGTGTCCATGGTCCCTGCTCTCACGCTGTTCACGTGCAATAACCCCCATGACCTGTGACAAATGTTTAAGACGATGCCACCTTCAAGCCGGGTTTGCTGGCACACGTGCAACAAGAAGAGAACGACTAAGTAGGTCCTGTCACCTTCCTCATTCCTCCAGCCCCCAAGGACTCTCATCTCTGACACCAGGCGATCCAGGTGTTACCTGCCCAGTACATAATACAAACTCTCTAAAATTTAAACCCCAACTCAAACTGCTTGGGCATCTCACACAACGTTTTGCCCAAGATTTTTATTTGTGGAATAAAAATGGTATTCAGGGAGTGGGACACTGTTCTTCAACAGGGAGTCTGGATAACGCAGCTGATGCCTGACAGCCTGAGATAATTGCACCACGTCACCCTCTTTGAGGCATGTGGACACAGTCAGCTGAACATCCTCACACTGAGAAAGAGGACCAAACACCTGATTTTATAGTTTTAACCTTTCAATTTGACCAGCAGTGGGACTAAGGCCAAACTCTGTATTCAAAAATACTAAAATACGTCTTATAATACTGAAATTACTAAAATTTGGAGGAGAGAAAAAATATTAAAGCATGGTAAAGTGGAAAAAAGATAGGGATACCTACTTAGCTCTCAAGAGATCCTGATCTTTCAGGGCTGATCCTTGAAGGTAGATGACTCTTTGAGACCACATTGGAATCTGTAGTACCCTTCGAACCTGCACATCCATTTCAGTAGGACACAAAATCACCACGTAGTAATCCTATTCAAAACAAAGTGTGCAGTGGGATAGAAAGAGCAATGCTTCGTTTTATGCTACACAGGTAACAGAATATCTAAGAACATTGTGCAATATGACAAAATAGACATGAACTCTTGTTAATAAATAAAATTCTTCATTTAAAACCTAGGGATTTTTTAAATAACATGATACTACAATAAACATAACCGAAACATATAAAAATATAATAAATTGATAAATTCTTCCTGACCTTTTCCAATCTTCTTAGTACCATGGAGAGAAGGTGATCATCACCAGGCACACTTTTCTAGCCTGTGAAGTTTTCAGCTATAACTTCAGGCTCATTCTAAAACATACACTGTACACCAGGCAGAAGTTCTTACGTATTAATTCATACTTCAAGCTCTTATTTTCAGAATAAAAACTGTGATGGTGATTTTTATCATTTGGTAATATTATTATGAGCTGACGATTTTGAAAAACTTCTGATGACGATCTGAGTGGATAAGGTTTCATAAAAATATTGGTAATACTGACAAGGTAAATTAAATAAGAAAGTTTGAGATGAAAATATTTCAAAATAATGGTCCTTTAGAAAAAACACGAAGGTATTTAGTGATGAAATGATTTAAAACAACTGATCTACAGGAATTAAAATTCTCTGGTAAATATCCACCATTTTATCACTCTAAAAAATATCTAGCAGGAATTTTTGGAGTTTTCAGAATTCTCTATATTGATATTAGACAAAATAAATTACAAAGGATCAAATTTTGGGGGGGATCAGATTTTCCCCATAATAGATTTTTCTTTGTGGGTCATAATGAGCAAGCTTGAAATTATTTAATATGAATAATATAAAAACCAATAAGTAAATATGGAGTTTCTCCAAAAATGCAAATTAATTTACATGAAAACAAATGAATGTATTATATAAGTATCACTTACAATTTAGATTTTTTAAAATATATTAAAAATAATATTTAAGAATATTTCCAATTATTCACAAAAAAACTCTTTATCTTTTTTAAGGGAAGGGTAATTAGATATACTAAGTACTGTCTTGATCTCGAGATTTTCCAACCTCTTGACACAAATTATGGAGGAAATATAAGACTTTCAAGTAGCTCTTTGATGTTTAGACTGGATTAAGCAAGGAACATTACTAAATCTGCATTAGCCTAGTACCGTGGCAAATGAAAGAAGTATCTGAGAATTTTATCTTCATAGATAGACGAAGAGATTTTTCTGAATTCATGTTCTCAATTCAGCTAGTTATTATCCAATTTTTGGTCATTTATTGTTACTATAAATAGGACCTAGTTACACTCCAGGAAACAAAAGAAAAAAATGGAACTTCCAGACTTCCACATTTCCATCAGCAACACTTCATAAAATTCTGAAATATTCAAGTGAGCAGATGATATTGAAATGATTTTTTTCATTGTTTTATTATATTTTATGTTAAATTTCACTGTTTCATAAAAATATCATTTATGCATTACCCGAGGGAGAAAAAAAGCCATCCGTTTAATTCAAAGAAAACCTTTCTTTGTAGCATTAACATAAGTCCATCTGTCTTTTAGTGTAGATACAGAACGAAACTTAAAATACTGTACATTCCTCCAATATTTTTTCTATGTTCCTGGTTATATTTGTAGTTCTTCACTTACTCTTTCTAAATTGGAGTGTATAAATAAAAATCTTCCAGAATGCAGACTGCACCATCAGTTAATTGACTTGGACAATATGTTAGTAGGTATGATTCAGTATAATGCACAAAATAATTTAAACGGACCTGTAGTCTCGGATGAGCATAGAATTCATTTAAAAAGTCCATAAGCAAATCAATCTTCAGTGAGCTGACACACAGGACAACGTGCTTTTCAGTTTGAGCTCTGTGTCGACTGTAGTTTCCACCTGACTTTTGTCTCTCCATCCACAAATAGGCCAGCTGTTCAAACTGTAATGTATTTTCCACATGTGAATGAAAAACACTGGACATGAAAATAAAAATCAATTTAATACATCTACTGTTTATGAGATATGCTCAATTTATTAGATGGATCTCATTGAGTTATCAATTTATCAGTGTTCCCTTCAACAATAGGCTTTTCATATGGTTGCTGCAGAGGTTGCTAATGCCTCCCAGGGGCTTCAGTCTCTAAGGAAACATATCAATATGATTTTCCTATTATATCATAATAGGGCACTAAGAGGTGTGTGCCTCTGCTTTATGTCCAGTAGAGCATGTAGCCATGATATGACACGTGCTGTGTCAAAGAGAAAAGCCTCATTGGCATTTCTTCCACATTCTTCCGTCAGGTTCAGCCCACATTTCATGCAATGGCAGATACCCTTACCACACACACAAGGCCATCATCTAGTTGTTAGTAGCTGGCATGCAAGGGAAGAGGAGGCTATAGGGTACAGACGTTGGGAAGGATGACCTGCGTGATTGAATAGGAGTAGGAAGATCATTTTTATACCTATGTAAAGTATATTTAGACACATTGTGGCCAAAGGCTGTGTAATGGACCATACAAGTTTGCTTTGCATTTGCTATATCGTGTTTCTGACCTGCCCGCCCACGGACACCCAGAGCTCATAGTAAAAGATTTGGAGATTGCATCCACGTAGCTTTAGTTTCACGTTATATCTCTGTTCCTTTGCAACCTCCCTATTCACTTCCCCAAACGGTGCATAATAGTTCCATCCCCTCTTCTGATTTTGTTTGTTTTGGTTGACTGACATATGTACCCAAGTTTTATTCATTACAATGTATGGCTTTTAGCTTATTTCAAGAATCAAGAGAATTCAACCCTTCACAAGTTTATTTCCTTGATCTATCCTTCTATAATTAACAACTATATTATCCTAGAAATAATATAGCTAAATACCCTAAACTTAAAAGAAACATCTAGGAGAACTGAAACGAAATGTGAGCTATCAGTTGTGACTGGAGGAAAAAAACTCTCAGTGTTTCTAATATCATATAAGAAGGCATTTCTGAGACAATTTTAACCAACTGACTAGATGAAATAGCAGCATGTGTTTATATGTTACTGTTAGATTAATAAATCATGCTAGATTTCTTTTTAAATGTGGAAGGTTAGATTTCATAAGACTTTGCAGATTTCTGAAGAAATTAACACGGTTATGTTTACCTGTATAGGCAGAACCACAAGAGCAACACAGATCATTGCAACGACAAAGAGCTTGGAGGACCACGTTTCGGGAGTGACATCGCCGAAGCCCACGGTAGAAAAGGTCACAATACAGAAGTAAAGAGAGTCAAAGAGATTGAGCTTCTTTCCTATTCGTTCCAGATGCTGGATTCCACAAATGCTAAAGAAACGAATGTGCATTAAAATTAAAACTTTTGCATTTGGGCACATTATTTCTCATCATTATTCTTTGGATAGCTAAAGCACATTTCATAAAGGCATGTCGTAGCTGGGATCTTCTACTGTACAATATATTGTATTCTCAGGAAAATATAACTTTTAAGTTTTTTCCCCTACATCAACCAGATATAGTCTTATTTTGATTAATAGCCAAAAATTGTAGCCAAAATATCACAAATTATATTTGAGTAGCATGTAAAATGAACAGACTGAATTTCATGGGTGACACACAAACATTTTGAATGCACATCAAGGAAGCGTAGAGACCAGACGTTGCTAAATCTATTCCCTGTCAAATTATCAATGGTCTTCCCTTGTTTTTTCCCACAGGAAGAGAGATAATTTACTGTATGTGTGTGTGTGTGTTTCATATATATGTATGAAAGGCTTGAGGAGTGAACAATTGCCAAGTGACTCTCAAAATAAGTTCTTAAATGGATCAATCATCTTTACAAAGCTTTTGATGGAATGAAAGTAAGGGAGCAGGATAGAAATTGTTACAAGATGTACCAAAGTAGAATTGTCAAAAGAACATTAGAAATAGCACTGCTGCTACTAGCTTAAAAAAAAAAAAAACAGCAGAAGCCACTCTGGTAGCATAGTGGTTAAATTCATGCGCTCTACTTCAGCGGCCCAGGGCTTGCAGGTTCGGATCCCAGGTGCAGACCTAGCACTGCTGGTCAAGCTACACTGTGGCAGCATCTCACATTAAACACCCCCGAGGAAGATTGGCACAGATGTTAGCTTAGTGATAATCTTCCTCAAGCAAGAAGAGGAAGATTGGCTATAGATGTTAGCTCAGGGCCAATCTTCCTCGCCAAAAAAAAAAAGAGCAAAGTAAGACCATGAATAATACATATATATTGTAGAATGTTGGAGGGAGATATGAGATTTACAACATAAAAATCAGTGTATCATGGAATACTATTCAGCAAGAAAAAGGAATTATGTAATGATTCATGTTATAATACGGATATACCACAAAAGCACGTTGAGTGAAAGAAGCCAGTTGTAAAAGACCACATATTGTATGGTTCTGTTTATATAAAATGCCCAGAAAAGAGATAGAAAGCAGATTAGCGGTTGCCTGGAACTGATGGTGAGAATGGGATAATGGAAATGTCCTAAAACTAGATGTGATGATGATTGCAGAACTCTGTAAATATGTTAAAAATGATTGAAATTTACACTTAAAATGAGTGAATTTTAGGGTATGCAAATTATACCTCTATTAAGCAGTCAAAACCATTACTACATACTTTTGGATGCACATTTCAACTTCTATGCACAAACAGACATAACTCAATTATCATGGCCATGAAGAAGTAATATTCAATGTTTAAATTCCAGACATTCTGTTTCTAGCCTTTTAAAATAATCTCCCTATTTTTCTCAGTTACATATCATAAATATTCAATTATCTTAAGTTATTTTTTTAAGGCAGAGTATAAGCCAGTGGCAGTTAGGCAGACGGGTAGGTGCACAGGTAGACGGATCAAGGGACAGTAGAGAAACAGTAGGTGTTTGTCATCATTTTACTTTTGAGGCAGAAGCTGTTCTTTTTCTTTGTATTTTCTTAACTCCCGGTCTCCAGAAGGGTTCAGCAAAGCTGTCCTTGTTCTATGCCTCGGAATTTTGTGTGAGCTGCCAGGTCAAATGAGTTGATCCATCTCAGTTTATTTGCTCAGCTGCTCCTATGCAGTATCATAGCCAAGCTAATTATAAGACTCTTCAGCTGGAGGCTTAAGGTAACCAAAGGTAATTCTTTGATAACACTAAACATTTCTGTGGAGTAGGGTTTTTTTTAATTTAAAATAATAAAATAGACGAAGAAGAAAGGATGATAATTAAGGTACCTATTTTTAAGCATTCATATGTTATTTAAAGGCTTACTATATTTTGCATAACTATACATTAAAAGCCAATCTCTGTTCATAGATAAAATATATATTTCCTAATCCAGCCATATATTACCTTGACCTAAACTACTAGAAAATTCTCCCACTGTGCTTCTTGGTCTTCAGTTTGTCTTTATTCTAATGTAACCTACTGATGAGGGCCATACTCATATTCTTTATTCTTTTATTTTTGGTCAGGAAGATTGGCCCTGAGCTAACATCTGTGCCAATCTTCCTCTATTTTGTATGGAGGACACCGCCACAGAATGACTTGATGAGTAGTGTGCAGGTCTGCGCCCAGGATTTGAACCCACGAACCCTGGCCAGCCAAAGCAGAGCATGCGAACTTAACCACTATGCCACTGGGCTGCCCCACCATATACTTATTCTTTAAACACAGCTTGGATATGTCAATCCTGGGTTCAAGGAAGCTATTGGATTCTCACTGCTTAAGAACACTCGCATATTTGTGGTGTGATAGATTATTATAATAGTTGCCAATAAACTGCCTCCCTAGGTTCACACCCCTTTGCAACATACTGCTGTACCTCCCATCAACAGTGAAATCTATTTCTCCATGTCCTTAAATTTGAGCTGCCTAATGACTTGTTTAGGCCAGTAGAATATTGGGGAAGTGATGCTGTGTGGGTTGCAGAGCTTAGACCTTGTGAGACCCTGAGCCTCTTGTTCTCACTCTCTTGGAAGTCTGAGACCACCATGCTGCGAAGCAGCCCAGAACAGTCTAATGGAGGATAAGAGACCTTCCGGAAGAAAACCAAAATGTCCCAGCTGAGAGCAAGCACCAACTGCTAGGCATGAGATTGGGGCCATCTTGGACTCTCCAGCTCCTGTCATGTCCTCACATGACTGAAGCCAAGAGTAATCACAGGACAGACCAGCAGAAAAACTGCCCTGGTTATCAGCACAGAATTGTGAGGAACAACAAATTGTGCTGATTTCAGCTGCTCCATTTGGGGGCGGCTTGTTATTCATCAATAGATACGTGGTACATAGAGAATTATCTAGACTCCGGCATCTGGATCTAATCTGCTTTTCCTTGAGCTTTGCTCTCCTTTATCTCCCTTCACTTACCATTTGGACTGTTTACTTATCAGAATATATAATCCTTGACCCCTGTGTCTACGTTTGCCCCATCTACTCCTTTTGATTATAATTCCCCTGTTTTGAAGCCCTGGCTCAAATATGGCCTCCCTCACGAAGCCTTCCTTGAATCTCAAGTGGGAGTGCTCCTGCTGAACTCCTAGAGCAAGTACGAGTTCATGTCTTAGATGAAAACACTTACAAAAACACCTATATTTAGTGTTTAATAGTTCTCACTCAAACTCAACTATTATCTACCCTAAGGACACTATGCATACTTTATATTTTTCTTTCCTAAAGCACTTAGTACAAAGTGCGTAGTAACCACTCAGTAACTAACTGCTAAATGAATAAAAGAAGACCTGGGTAAACCATATTCAAATTATATGTGCAAACAAACTCCAGAAAATATTTCCTTCATATGTTTCACTTTTTCACTACTGCATAGCAAACTCCCCAAAACTTAGTGGCTTAAAACAATAACCATTTATCATTTCACATGATTCTGTGCCTTGAGGGGGAAAGCTTCTCTGATTTTCTTGGGCTCACTCATGTGGCTGCACTGAGATAGAAGTCTGGCTGGAATGGAACGTCCAAGATGACCCCACTCCTCTGCCAACTGGTCACTGTTCACTGTTGGCTGTGTGCCTTGGTTCTTCTTTATGTGACTTCTGCTCTTCCACTAGACTCTACCAGCTTCCATACTGTCTCAGGGCAGTGATGGCAGCTGTAAGCCCTCCTAAGACTTAGCTATATCTGCCTCAGTCTATTTGCCAAGCAAGTCACAGGAGAGGTGTACATCAAAGCGTGTAGAAATAGACTCCATCCCTTCATAAGAGGAGCCACAAAATATTATGGCCATGTTTTCCGATCTACCAAACCATACAAATGAAAATACCTATCATGACCTTTATAAATTTTAACAAATTTTGTTGAATAAACCATGCTGCTATCCAAGGTATTTAATTTCCTTGATATAACTGTAGTTAAATCCATACTTACAATCATTTTTTATAATCCTTATGCAAAATGCCATTTTACTTGATCTAGGAAAATCATGTGAGCCTTTCACATATTTATTAATATCACACTTAAGCTTAAAGACTTGCTATACGGTAATGCTTTCTAAATCAACATGAAAATGAAGACTCCCACAGAAGCTGTTACATGTTTGGTATTATTACGCAAAAACAAAAATCAACTTTTCTCAAAGGGCTGATAAAGGTGAATACACTGAATTACTTTTAGAGCTTTACTCTGATTTTGAATAGGCTCACCAGCTCATTTCTCATCGAGTCTCCTTAAATAGGTCACTGTTTATGTTCATGGAAAATAATGTCATTACATTTTTAAAATATTGATGTTAACCTGTTATGTTGTAAGTCAATAAATATTTCTATAATAAATAGTTGAATTTAGTTCCTTCCCCCAATATAAAATAAGGTGGAGAATACTCCAATATCTAGCCCAAGATCAGAGTAATTCTTTTAAATTATAGGTCAAATCTTGTTCCCTCCCTGTTCATAACTCTCAATGCCCTTGTGTCATTTTCAGAATAAAATCCAAAAGTCTCTGGCTCTTCTCGGACCTCATCTTCTAAGACCATCCTCCAGCTTACTGCCCTCCAGTCACACCAACCTCACTTCTATTCCTTACACATGCCGCGCATCAGCCAAGGCCTCTCTCAACTTCTTCTCTTTGTTTCTGATAGACATCTCAAAGTTAATGTGTCCAAAGTGGATCCTAAACTCCCTTTCTAAATTTGCTCCTACCAAATTCTTCAACATCAGATGGTGGCAAATACAGCTTTCCTGTTGCTTAGGCCCAAATCTTGGAGTCATCCTTGACTTCTGTCTTTTTTTCACAACCTACATCCAAACCCTTAGCAAACTCCACTGTTTCTAGCCTCAAAACGTAACCAGAATCCACAATCACTACTCAC